AGCGGTAGACTTCGACCCCGTAACCAAATAAAGAGATGTCCGGAGTCACAGCTTTACTGAATTCTGCCAGGGGGTGCTCTATTGCCGACTTCAGATTGAAAGCTTCGATCAACGCCGTTTCCCGCAGCACGGACGTGTTCCCGACACTCCTGACCAAAGGTGGGGGCGAAGGACTTCAAAAGTTGGCAAGCACTTGCCCTGGCTGCTCAACTCGGGCACTTCAAGCTGCGTCGACTTGATGGCTATCGTGCAGGCATTTCCGGGCTGCTGGCTCCCCGTCTCTGCTACAAGACAAGGCTCCGAGCTTTGAGGTCGCCTTCTGACCTGAGATCAGAAAAAAAGATGCCATTGCTGCAGATGCAAACACAGAAACCTTGGGCATCATGAGGCATCATGACTGGTGACTGGTTACTACGAAGATTTGGACCGGAGAAGACAAATTGACCTCGCAAGCTCTACCTCCGTCTTTTCCCTACTTTGCTGGAACCTCTTGCTGCAACGGGGCAAAGCTCCCACAGACAGCTCCGGATGATCCCGGACACCGCGCTCGATGATCTCGGCGATGTGCTTCAGCGCCGGGCCGTACTGCTTGGAGCCTTCGAACTCTGCTATGGGAGTAAGGTTCGTGCAATCCTGAAGTGCATTCGGGCCCCGGGCTATAGTAGCAAAGGGCGATGTTGTATGCAAGGCTTGCCTGGCAGGTCTTCAATGCTGAGACAGGCCTCAAGAATGACGAGAAGTGCTGTGCTGCGAGAGCCTGGTAGCCGGTGCTAGTTATCGCGTCATTGAACAGCTTCATAGCTTCTGCATACCTGCCGGGTCTTTCCGAACTAAATTTGAAAAGCCGTGCGCGAGATGCTCACCAGGCAGGTGTGGCAGTCCTGGTGCGTTGCATACTTGTATGGAATGGTTTTCCGCAGTTGTCCAGGCTCTACAGCGCAGAGTTTAACAGTTTTGGCTCGGGCACCGCTTCTCTTTCCAAAGCAGTGCTCCCTCGAAGACCTGCCTCTCCTGGCAGAGCTGTCGCTCGGCTGCGCATGCACCGTATGCAGGACGGCAGGTAAGCAAAGGATCAGCAAGTCGCACACCCTCCTCAGAGTCTGGATGGCATTGATCCAGGATGCTGCGAGCCAATTGTGTCTCTTCCTTCGGGTGTTCACTCGGACTAAGTTTGGCAACCACAGGGAGCAAAGCGCAGCAGCCTGTTCGTAGGAGATCGTGGCTTGTAGCATCAGGACCCGCTCCTCAGATACGAGAGCCATTTGACTCTCAGCCCAGCAATTCCCTCAAATTTCAGTTCCCTTCAGCTCGCTGGGAAACTTTATACTTCTGCATTCAGCTCGGGTGCAGTGTACTCCGGCGACTCCACGGAAGTACACGCCTGGCTGGCCTCCTCATACAAGCCTGCCTTGATCAGGCTCTGGACCTCGACTGCTCCTAAAGGTCGTGGGCTGGAAAGATGGCCCGAGCCGCTTTTCTGCCCCTGATCCCTCTGTCTTCGGAGGCACATGGTAAATCTTGTACTCGTCGATCTCCGGAACGACTTGCACAAGCCTGAGCTTGCGGCCAAACACAGGCCATGTTTGGTCGGGGCCACAGAAGAGAGACGGTTGGTCAAGACTGGGAGCTGACCGTAGATGTCTGCAGCACTGGCAAAGTCTTGCATGTGGTAGTAGCAGTATCCGAGCAATGACCTCAGCTTCAGCTAACTAGTCTCATGCGCTCACGCCGCGACGCTGCCACAAGTCCACAAACCAGGGAGAAGCCAAGCAACAAAGCACAGCGGCTCTCCGGGAAGAACTGAAGCTGCTGGTTGAGAATCTTCACTGCCTTGTCATATTTTTGCTCCATGATGTGCGTGTAGATGGTCTTCGTCATCTCCCCCTCTTTGACTTGTACCCGCATCATGCCGGCGCCTGACTCACGACAGCACGGTATGGTCACACACTCTCAAATCACAGGGATGAATTACAAGGAAATAGAAAGAACTGACCCCTTTGCGCAAGACCATCTGGCTAAGCGGACATCCAGTGGCCACACGAGCGTGGCAGTGACTGCAATAACATCTGGTATGAGATGTGTGCTGCTGCATAGCCCGAACTCGTACGTTCACTATATTGCTGCGACTCTGTCCAATCTGTTTAGAACCTGTGTTGCACAGAAGCACGAACCGTCACCCGACACTGGCCGGCCCTCAAAGCTGAAGTTCTATGCTTCGGGGCAGGCCAACCTTGAGGTCGAAACCTAAGTCCTGAATCATGTTCTTCAAAAGTCACACGACAAACAGCAAAGTCTGCTCAACGTTGCGAAGCAGCCGGGACAGAGGGGCGAGACTTCTGCTCGCAAGGCCTCTGCGTCGACAGAGCAAACGCTGCGTAGTTGGACGTTGTGGATTTAGGGCAAGTTTTCGGTAGAAGCAGGATTTGAACGTGCGACGTGCTGACAAGAATGGCAGCGCGCCCAGCTGACCAGGATATTGCCCACGCATGACTCGAAAGTACAGTGTACAAGTACATGAGAGCCGATTGGAGAGTATCGGGACAGGGGTGATCCTGCGCCCATTGGTTGCACACCAAGACAATCATCGGCAAAATCATTGAATAAAAACTGCTACTCATGGATCCCCACCTACTCGCTCAGTGCCGAAACTTCTGCAACAAAAGCAGAGTTCGGGGAATTGAAAACTCTCCACAAAAAAGCTTAGAGCAGCACCGGTGCCGGGAGCGGGTTTCGCAGCCCTACCTACTTTGAGCCGAGGTCGGCAGTTGACATCAAACGTCTCACAACTCAAAGCAGCCAACACGACAGTCTCACGTCCAGAGACTCTGCTCCAGCGTTGGATTGGTGCTGCGACGGGTTGACAATAGTTGACTTGGGTTCGTGCATGGGTACTACGATTTGCCCGGAACAATGAAATTCAGGAGCCGCAGCACTCGGGTCTCCCTGGACGACTTGGAGACTTAGGGCGAAGGCAGGGTAACTCGCGGGAGGCACTGGCTGCCTGGCATGCTACATGCAACTCAGCAGGATGCAGGAAGCGTGGCAGCGCAACTGCATCTGGTAAGGCATGGAATGGGCATGATGCCCTTTTACTCGGTTGAGCTCGAACTACGTGCACCTCCAGCAGAGAGCGTGCTGCCCTAAGATGAAGTTTGAAGCGGGCCCCAGCGACAGGGGCGGCAGCATGAAGCTTCCCTCAATGGCATTCGCACTCACACAACACATTCGAAGATCTCAGCCTACGCCCTACTCCAACGATCCCGTGAGGCCCCGGCTGCAGGGCTTGGGCAGAAGTCCGGCGTGCTCGGGAAGAGCGCCTCCAGGGTTTTCTGGCAACTTGCTGCAACTTGCCTCGTAACTTGGAAGGATTCTAGAGCTCTTTTTCCTCCAAAGTTGAGTATTTTCTCCAGAGAGATCATGATTGCTTGCGTGTCGACGAGAATAATGCTGACTGGCACTTGCCAGAGATAGCAAAGCGTACGCAGTTGCATTGGCATTCAGAAAAGACTGAGCTCTGCACTGCGGGGGTGGCTGATGAGCTGGGCTCCCTTTCGGTTGAGTAAGACCTCGGGCTGGTGCGCAGCTTCTGCACCCAAGATGGCTAAACTCCTCTCTACGAGCACCTCTCACGCCAGGATGCCTAAGGGCACGGCTCGATCGACATCTGCCGTGTGAACAAGCTGCTAGAGCTCACGTCGTGACTGCCAACCCTGCGCAGCTGCAGGAGCAGTGTCAGCAATGTCTCCTCTCGTTGTCTCTGCCGAACTCATAAATTATATACCTTGAACAAATGTAGCTCCTCTCAATTCCCTTGTCGTTCCTACATCATGTTCTGCAGCTGCCTGCGGCGCCCCATGGAGTACGGAAGGGCCTCGCAGAATCACCGTGACATACCGTGACTCTGCTCGTCTGCGCAATGACGTGTCAGCCTCCCCGATGCCAGGCGATGTCAAGACAGAAGGCCTTGTGTGGTCCAGGGGGGTGGGCCCATTTGGCGGATTATTAGCAGTTCTAGCTGAGCATTGCTTGACTTTGCATCTCGGTGCTTGATGTGCAAGTTCACCCTGCAAAGTTCTCGTTGGACGTGCAAGGATGGAGAGAGCTACAGAGACACCCGAGCACATATCCAGTCACGTGGCCATAACTTCGCGGCTTCCAGCTTTGATTCGCCAATCAGGGCGGGTGTGTTGTAGCGATTCGTAGCACGATCAAACGAACAAGGCCGTTGTGTTGCGACTCTGTCACGAATGTCGAGCAGTGGCAAGTGGCCGGTAGGCAATTTTCCAGAGAAGTCAGAGCAGCTTTTTCAGTAGTTACCCACCTGACTCCAGCCCAGCCTGAATTCCACCTACCATAATCATAAAAGTAACAGCAGACCAAAATGGAAAACGAAACGAGGGACCTGGGAACAATTGAGACCTTCGTTTTGCATCGTAAATACCATATTTAACCAGCTTTTCCGGCAGGTCTGGATTCCGTAATTATCTCTCAACGGCTGCCAAAACCAAACTCACATTTCAAAACAACATGCTAGACAACTCGTTCAGCTTCGATGAGAACACGCACTCAACGGCAACACTGTACTCTTGCAATCGAAAGCCAACCGCCAGGCAACTCGTTCAGGATCGATGTGAGCACGCACGTACCGACAACACCGTACGCTTCCAATCCAAAACTTATTTTTTCCTAGGAGAACCAAAACAACAAAAACACCATCTCTACTCTTGGGAAACCATACGGCCAGACTACAAGAAGATGGTTTTTGGTTTTCCCTAGAAAAAATTTGTTTTGGATGGGAAAACCAACTTTCCCCTAGGAAAAGATGGTTTTGGGTTGAAAACCCACTTTCTCCTAAGGAAAAGATGGGTTTGAGCGGAGAAACCAACTTTTTCATAGAGGAAACCGAAAAAACAACAACATCTTTTGGGAAACTATACGGCCAGACTCCAAAAAGATTTGTTTTTTTTGTTTTCCTTAGGAAACCTTCATCTAGGGAAAACCCCAAACACCATCTTTTGGAGTCTGGCTGCATTGTTTCCCAAAAGATGTTTTTCCCGAGGAAAAAGTTGGAATTTCCGTTGAAAACCATCTTTTCCCTAGGAGAAAAAGTTAGTTTTGGCAAAAAATAATGTTTTTCCTAGGAAAAGTTTGCATTTCACTCCAAAACCAAGGTTTGTGCATTTCCTTTGTTTCCACACGTAACAAACTAATGTTGCCAATAAGGTTCCAGTATCGTTGCCATTGGGATTCGATTCCGCTCAGCATTAATATTCTACAATATGCTGGGTAATAACCAGGACATTGTCTGGATCAGTTTTGGGGTCGATGGAGAGCTGGTTATCACAGCTACCACCACTACGATGCCTTCT